CTCTAGCCTACCCTTGTGAGAATCTAGTTCATGACAAGAATTTTGCTGCTTAGGGTGGACTGACACCGGAAATTTGAATGTCTGCAAAATATAAGATATCTGAATCTTTTCGTAAGACATCTACATCGGTGCAAGTAGAATCCTCTCCTCGGTCATCTCCCCGGGGATCGTCTGGTAAATTTCCCGTCACGGTAGTATGGCCCAGGCTTGGTTGTCAGGATCTAACCGGCGTTGAATAAGAAAAAAAAAACTCCCTCGTGGCACTGGACCCCACTCAGGATCAGATAACTTGTCTGCAGAATTCCATCCCGGGTTATCAATCAGTGTGAAGATGTCTAAGTGGAGCCCGTTGTCGACGAGCCCGGGACACACGTGTGAGTTGGTGGGAATACATAATTGGAGGCACTGACTCTTGGCACATCCTGGCATTCTGCAACTAGTTTTCGCTTTTCGTCTGTTGGAACTTGTAAGACAAGGAACAGTCAGTGGGTCACAGCCTAGACCATCTCTGTCGGATATTGTAGGCTTAGAAGACCCAGTACATAATATTATTTAATGCTCAGCTTCGTTAAAATTTACCTCACATAAATACATAGCATAGCATCTATCATTTACCATTGTACGAGTTGTGCAACCCTGACCTTTACCTAGGGCTTGGGAATCTAATCAATCGGGCTGATCTAATCAATCATTCCCGACATCGGCGACTTCGTGTGGGACCCACCTAAAAATACCATAAATACCGCTTGAAAGATTCAATGAATGTTACGGAGAATCAGTAGGGAATTGGAAGGCAAAAATAGTAGTCTTGTTGTATACTAAGTACTTTGTATGTACTCCGTACCAGGTACATATATGCATTGGATGAAAAAGCTAGTTATTGCGTAATATGCACGGAGTATGTCAAGATCCAATCCACTAGGGCTGAATGCCGGCGTCCTAATTGGGCTTCTATCTTTGTTCTAGACTTGATGTTAATATAATTGATGGAGGGCTTAAGAGGCCTTCTTGTATTACATTGGACTGTCCCTCACTAGTTAGTTAGTTAGTTACGTCATGGTTGCTTTATTAATTTATTGTAACTTCATTTCTCGTTGGGCTGTCTGTTCAGCTGTTAAGAGTGGACTACTCTATCATTGCTTGTCAACCAAAGAAGAAAGATTTCCCACGATCAAAATTAATCAGATTAAGAAAAGCAGGTACAAAAAGCCTATCATTGGCATACTCTGAATGCAAGTAGCAAACACACATGGATACATCTCAGGTAGACGGCAAATTAGTACATAGGATTCTACACGCCGAACTTATGGCCCTTTGGTAGAGAAAGATCTGGACAACCTTTCCAGTCGCAGGTGTTCTGCTAATAGTTAGTATAAGTAATTGAACGTCAGAGGGGCTAAACACACCTTGTAAACCTCTGTTCCCCACCATTCGAAATGTTTACTGGCTCCGGTAAAGAAAATTGTCAAGAAAATCAAGACACCAGCAATTCCCACGGACGAGTCCAGGGCAGAGCTCAGCACAAAATTATACTTACTCCACCAGCTATGCAGACGCTTCCGAATAAGCCAGCCAAAGGTGAGTCCGACAACGGCCCAGCTGCCATAATTCATTCCGGTCGCAGGGGGCAGGTAATTGAGCCCACCAAGGAACAGGGGAATATGAACCCTTCTCCACAGTGACTTGGGGTATCGGCGGGTCATATAATAGACGGGAATGGGTAAAATGGCACCGACGATGAAGAAATAAAGCAAAGCGGAATAGCCAATTTGGTTTGAGAAGTAACGACGAGGACCCACTGCACCCCAGATCAACGAAGTATTGAAGTGAGTTCTGCTGTAAGGACAAGTGAAACCGTTGACAGCAGCGCTAGTGCAGACGCCAGTGATGTGATTCAGGGCCCAATTGAGGACACCGAGCGAGGAGAGCGTGCCGATAACCATTCCCACGCATTGAACCAAGAACAATTTTCGTTGAGGGATCTTCGGGGTATTAGCATGATTCAACTACAGTAGGAAGGAAAGGGCTTGCATGGCAATAGTAGGCCAGTTTCATATCCTGGGCAAAGTAAAGACCCTTGATGGTGGTGATGTATCCGATGTCAAAGAACCAGATATTGGCCAGGACTTTGCCCTCAAAGACGAAACCGGCCACGATACGGCAGAAGATGTCGATGTTGATCTTGAGGTTAGAAGTGGCATAGACCAGAGCCAACTAAGATTGATCAGAGTAGTGTCCAATGTGTAAATCGGTACTTCAGGTAGACTCACCGCAGGATAAAACATCAGTGCCACAGTACACGCCAGCAGAACACCGTACCATCTCAGTTCAACGTTCCACCACTCAACGGCGAACATCGACATGAATAAGGCTAAGATGCATGCAACCAGATACCACCACAAAGGCACATCTGGGTCTCCCCGCTCGTCCTCGCTGTACTCTCTAGAGCGACCGGGAAAAGACTCCAGGACTAGCCGAGGCACCCTTTTAGCAGCATCGGCCATGACATGACGCTTCTCAAGGACAACCCAGACAAGAAGAGCGCTCAGGGTCGCAAATGAGAGCCCAAACATGTTCAACGCGTAGGTAACTGGCATATAGACCTAATCGTTCCACAGGTTAGCAGGATGTCAAGTTTTTTGATTTTATAGAACGTGCAAACATACCCGGGAATAAGCAAGGTACTTCTTAACATCGAGCTTGTAGCCTGAGGCTGCATTGACAATCTTTTTGACTTGATAAATGTGCCCGGTATTGTCGAATACTGTCCGCACAAGTTAGATTTGGTCGGGAGCTTGAAAGGATGGGTTGTACCTTGAGAGCTTTGGAAAGGCAGATAGCCTGTGTTCCACACATTGGAATAGTATAGAGCAACAGCCACAATCCAAATCCAGAACACCAGGGAAACGAAAACGTTGAAAACTGCCCACGATGGAATGAGCAAGGGTGATCCAACATAAGATATTTGGCTCCCTATTAAGCCCCGTCAGCATGTATTTGACCTGAAAAGCTGTGATACTCACAATCAAAGGTAAGCGGCAACAGTCCCATTCCAGAATTCATTCCGAAGATCTGGTTGACTACTTTGCTCTCAGGCTTGATCCAACACGGGAAGCTGAAATAGCTAAGCGCCGGGAAGATAAAGTCCGGGAACCAATACCAGCAGAACGAGATAGAAAATGCCATACCGAAGAAGGCATAGCGAGACATTTTCCAAGTATTGTAACTACCATCCATCAGTTCCATTCACCGAGACAACAAATCAATACAGGGAACTTACGTCACTTGCACTTTTTGCTGGTTGACTTGATGCAGCGTTGTGGTCAACGCAGTAACACCCAGCACTCCAGGCCAGATCAACTCATGGGGAACGACCACAATCGCCCGGAATAGACCAGCCAGACAGAACCCGATGAGGAATGTGGAGAAAGTAATGAGAATTTGGAATCCCCATCCTGCCTTGTAGCCGTAGAACATTTGCTGCTCTGTCAGAACATCGGCGCCAAGACGAACGTAGATACTGAGGTTGGACATCATGAAGATCAAAACATGTTCCTGGATTAACCTTTGTTAGACTGATTACTGTGATGTTGCCAGAGAACTTACCTTTGTATTAAAAGGACCCGGATTGAGCTCAAATGCCAGCCGTCCTAGAGGAACGGTCCAGTTCGGGACGATTTTCTCCCAAAGCTTTCCCAGGGGATAAGCTAACAAGAGGACCACCGAGCCCGAGATTGTCAAGGAAGGTGCACGGAGCGTGTAGAGCGTGTTCAGCCCGCTAACGATGACACAAAAGGCAATTCCTATCACCCACATACGTAGGGTGAGGACGGGCTCAGTAGGATCATCTTTAGCTATACCTATACCAGCAGCCCGCAAGATTTCGGTCTGTGAATCTATATCTGCAGTGGTGTGAGAATCTCGCAAAGAAAATGAAAAAAATGAAAAGAAAAACTCAAGACACAGCAACAGGCAACAGCGGACTTACCGGAATCGGTATTATTTTCATCCTGGACTTCTTCCTTTTCCCGGATATCTCTCTCCAGCAGGTTAATGTCTGTGTCCTTGTTGGCTTCCATGATGGGCATGAAGGAAAAAGGAATAGAAAGAAGGATCAGATAAAAGGATCAGATAAATAGACAACATCAGATAAGATGCAGAAAGAACGTGTAATTCGGATGCGACCTCGGACTCCGTAGAAATACACAAAGTACGTATTCCCACGGTTCTCAGCCCTATAGGGAGACAAGCTTCATTATCTGTCTGGTCCAGCGTGTTATTGGACAGGTTCCAGTTCAGGCGGGGCTGTAATACTAAGCCAGAGTATGTTGTTGCCTAGTTAGGAAATACCCACACTCAACGACACCTGGTTTAGCTTTGGTCAGTGTCTAGATCTTATAGGTCAGATCATTTTGGTTATTTTCCGATTAGGGCATGATTTTCTCGCCTCTAACGGAGACTTTGGGCTTTACTTACTTGTAGACCGTCATGTAATTCATAGAGAGTACTACATACAGTAGTTAATTGAGCCAATGGTATACATCATATTTTCAAACTCACCCAGACTGAGAAAGAACAAAAAGCTTCCACTGTGGGAACCTTAAGTGCCCACTCAAACTTTTTATAAACCTTCTCGTGCCATTTTACAGGCATGGTTTTATCGGCCGAGGCACGTTCCCCTGGCCCATAAAACCAAGGTTTACGGTCTCCACGGTGTAAGCATTTGGATCCTTTCTCAGTGGACAAGTTCGGGTTAGGAGTGATAGGACCCCTCTTGTTGACAAAGTCAAACAAGACACTAATACGGAGTACTAAAATAGCAGCCTCCAGGCGTGGCTCTTCTGGGAACCGTACGGATGTACTCGTAAAGAATGGATGTATGACGCTCAAGCCATAGAGGTGTCATAGGGCCACCATATGGACTCGCATAATTCAATAATCGCAGGGATGCAAATCAACATCATACCGGTATATAGAACGTAATGGGCCAACTCCACGGCCTATGTTTCTCCAGTCACCAATAAATCCTCTTCTACCACTGAGACACGCACTTTGATGCCCCAGCCATCTCGCCCACCAATCCAATTCTTCCGCTTTCCGACCTTCTGGATTTTCTGCACGTCATTTTCGAGCTCTTCTCTCAGGTGAGACGGGTCATCTGCAACTTTCTGAATGGCAATTGTCAAGTCCAGGCCTTCTTTCTTGCCCTTCTTTCCTAGTCCCTTCTTCCATCGTGCCGAGGGAACAATTCGAGGCTTAGAGGTGTCGACACGCCCGGTTGGGTACAGCTGGGCTAGGACGAGGCCGAGTTTCCCAAGGTAACGTGTCCACCAAACTTCCTCCGGTGTCAAGATTCCTTGCAGCTGGGTCTTCAAATCCATATCTCTGGGTGGCAGTTCTCCGCCATAACGTTCCTGGAGCATCAGTGCCAATAGGGCACGGTGGTCATGTGGAATACCATGCGTGGAGGCTAGGATCCCAGTGCTAGTGCTGTACAGTGCAGCACTTGAAGAAAGTTCTTTGGCCATTGTGGCATGATAATAGAGGGAATTGGCAAAGGCCTGGATAAGGTGAAGACTGATGGAACGTGGGAATGATCGGCTGGCAGACGGTCGAGGAAGGGCCGCCAACAATAAAGCGGCCAGTGCCTGGGCCGACGAAGGCGCGTGACGGGCCGTGGCGACCTCCAAGGGGTCCTGCCGGCGGACAACCGGGAGCATCTCACGGAACAGCACTCCTTCCCGAACTCCACCTTGGCAAAAATGGGCCTCTTTGATTCCATACGGCAATGACTGCGCCAGGGTATTGACTAAGAATGCCACCGAGGGGACTTGCCTGCGTCGCCGGTCCGAGACCCGGAAGATTTCGTGTGCTGTCCGGGCCACCTCTTTGAGAGCTTTGGTATTCTCAAAGTCTTTCTTGGGTGCGGAATACCCATTAATAATCGAGATGGGGTAACTTTGGCCCTTTGTCTGGTGCAGATATAACAAAAGATAGCCCCATCCCCGAAATCCTCCCCCGGACAGGTAGAGAGGAAAGCCCCCTTGCTTTCGGGCCTTGTGAACAAGCTGCTCAGGGACGTTGAGGGTATCAAAAGCGGGATCCAGTTGCGCCTCGTAGAGCGAGACATTGACCCGATGAAAATGTACAGTAGGGATGACACGGGTTGTTGGGGGCGAAAGATCTGAGATGGAACAACGGATGCCATTACTGCATTATTTTGAGTCAGTGAACAGTCCTCACGCACATTAAAAGGGAACGAAGAGGGGAATTCGATCTGCCTACCTGCCCAAATCTACCACCGCATGAAGGTATGCATTCTGCCCTGGATCCGCGGGCGGCTTTTGGCCATTCAATACTGGAATTTGGCTTCCTCCTCCCATTTAGGCGATCAGTTGAAATTGCTCAGGTATACTTTGTGCGTTGGATCTCGAAATTCAGCTGCAGAGGACCTCTGGGGAAAAACTGCGTGACATCATCATTTTCGACCGCCCGCTGTTCTGCCGGATAATTGTAGATTTGCTGTAGCTCCCAAGTACATTTTGTTTGTTCAAGAAGAATGTTAATGTTATATATTTGAAAGGCATAAAGAATTCCGACTCTTAACGAGTCTGTGGTCATTTAAGTTCATTGTGGTCGGATATATCGAGTGCATCGTAGCGTTCTTCTCGGCAACTGGCAAGGCATCACTTTGCCTTAGGATTAGGTAAGGTTGTAGATCACATGACCAGATTTCACATATTTGTCAATAAAAGCTTTCATTAGTTAACTGACTGGAATTTTGCACGGAATCTTGTATGTAAATCACTGAGTAGGTAGTTCCACTACAAAAGCTTTAGCGGAAAAAATTCCGCTGGTGTTGCAAATTCTGACTCTGTATGTACTACACATATGTAGCCCTGGAGGTACCCATGTACCCCTCATATATATCACGAGCATTATCATAAGATTTATTCCGTACTCCGTACAAATTCATACAATGACCGCAAGCCACAAGTAGAGAAAAATGTATTCGAATTATTCAAATAACCGAAAACAAAATTTAGATATCAATAGCGTAGTAAATATCTACCTGGCTCGTTCACTTCAATTTTCGACCCTGAAATGGGCTGATCCAATCATGATGTCACGTGGCGTTGTCTAATCAATCAGATCAGATAAGGGGTCTGTCCTAACTAGGGGGATTCCGAGTCCACAACTCAACCCGATTCCTTTTTTTTCCCTTTCGAGTGTTCTTGAGAAAACCCGTGTCAGAATCCGAGCCAATTCTTATTCAGACCTCTTCCGAAGTTTGGTCCTACCTACGAAATCCAACGGTCCAACGACTCAGAGACTTCGCCGATCCACATGGGTCCACCTGATTAGTGCGATTATCGGCTTACTGCCGGTGCTCCGCCTTTCGTCTTGAGCCGTTCCTTCACTCACCCTCAGACCGGCCGACTATCTGAGGACTCATTATGTTGCTCTGTTGGCTGGTAATCGCACTCGCCCAAGGTGGCTGGGCTAATCCAGAGGATGAGCGGTGTGTGACAGCTGTCTACACGGCATACAACTACATATCATTTGCTGGCATTCTCTCACAAGGCAAGCACAGCTGGGAGTCGCAATGCCGGAATCCGCTTAAGGTCGCATCGATATACGCCGCATCCGATATATATTGCAATGAGCAGGAGCTGGCGATAGGCATGGCCCAGCTGGCTAACCAGTGCCAAGAATATGGGAACCTAGAGCTGCTGTCGAGGGAAGCGGTCGCCGAAAATCTGACAGACGATGCTATAAGGAATATGAGAATTGTCGACTATCAAGAGCTGTCCCGAGGCGAACCAGTGAATGCGCCTGTCCTTCTTTCTGCGTCTTACTTCAACCTAATGTTCAAAACGATTGTGAGACCTTTGGACCTTGAAATATGCTAGTCCTAAAGCTTATTGATGTCCTAGGAATCTTGGGAACTTGTGACTTGGTCACATCATGCATTTGGGTAAGTCTGTTCAAGCTGGCAAGCAAGACATCCATATATTGACTAATCAGTTATATCGGCTACGCGTATTGGGGTGGTATACTATCTTTGGGGATGGCCTATCGCTTGAGTGATTGGTTATTCCACCGCCGACAACGCCGTGTAGAGCGTGTACTCGAATCCAATGTGTATCCTCTCATGAAGACCTTGGACAATATGCCATTGGTGGGCACCGGTCTTCACTGGATCCAGACTCATCTGATGATCCCACCGCCTTTAGCAGCATCACATGGTCGACACCTGCTAGGCTTCACATTCTCCACCAGAGTCGAGGCGCTTATAGTCGTGGGATTCTGGACGCTTAGCATCGTATTGAGTGTCGTGGGCTATCACACTTTTCCCGGAAATATCTAGTAGGTACTAGCCCGTGGAAGTGGGATGTGCAATGTTGACAGATAGTCTAGCTGGCCCGATGTCACAAGCCAGGTTCTTCGTTATTCTGCAGACCGCACTGGGATCATGTCATTTGCGAATTTGCCCCTTCTATGGCTCTTTGCCGGACGAAATAATATTTTTCTTTGGGCCACCGGGTGGAGCTTTGCATCGTTCAATATATTCCATCGCCATGTGGCCCGGGTGGCTACTATACAGGCAGTAGTGCACTCTGTCCTTTACATTGTCATGTTCCATCAAAGTAAGTATTGCCCATTTGGCTTTCAATGCGCGCTAGGATACTTATAGTTATTCCGACAGCGGGCAAAGCTGTGAGGGGTATGTCGAAGACCTATGTTTTGTGGGGTATTTTGGTAGGCTGCCAATTTGATTGATCTCAAGTTGGTCGATTTCTAATTCATGTTGTATTAGGGCACATTCGTGATGATTCTGCTGTTGATCACCTCATTGGATCGGATCCGAATTGCGACATATGAGCTCTTCTTGATTGCTCATGTCGTGCTTTCGATTCTCACCCTTGTCGCGTGCTTTTAGTAAGTACACCAGCGCGAGGAAATTTCTGATCTATTTCTAACAATTGGCAGCCACACCATTATATTTGAAGGAAACGAATACTGGAAGTACCTGTGGCCCACGGTAGCTATATGGGTCGTTGATCGATTCCTTCGAATTGTGAGGTTGTGTTACTGTAACCTTCACGTGAGTCTTTCAAACAAAAGACTCGTGAAAGTTTCTGAGAGCCATATGGTTTACGACGAAACGGCCGACGTGGTGCGATTGGAGGTCACACTAGGAACGCCTTCGCTACAGCCTTCACCAGGACAGTACTACTTCTTATACCAGCCATTTAGGCTTACCGGCTGGGAGAGCCATCCTTTCACCGTTGGGGCATGGTCTTACGAAATAGGGGACCAGACGTCATTGGCGCCAAAATCCGAGGGAAAATCGACTAGATCGCTTGATGTTTCGCATGTGCCACTTCTTGCAGGCGGTCCCTCTGATCAAGATTATCCAGAAAGCTCAGAAAATGGCTCGTCGAAGCAAGAGAAATTATCGAAGTTGAAATTGACTTTCTGGGTCCGCCCGTATGACGGTTGGACCAGACACTTGCGCCAGCGATGTCTGAGCTCACCAGCCAAGACTAGCAAAACGACCATTCTTCTTGAAGGCCCCTATGGAGAAACCTTTCCCTTGTGGAGGTATGAATCAGTCTTGATTATCGTCGGTGGGACAGGAATAGCGTCGGCTGTGCCTTATATTCAAGATCATCTCCGCCGGTCTGTTCAAGACTGGGACGAAAGCCCCGAAAATGAGAAAACACGAGTGCGAGACATGGAGCTTGTTTGGACCACCAAACAAGCGGCTTTCATACGAGATGTCTCTCGCCGGGAACTGAAACCTGCCCTCAAACGAGAGGACTTCAGCGCCTCTTTCTACGCTACGCGTGATTCCACCGCATCCTCCGAAGATCCTACCGATTTTGGATTCGATATCCAGTCAGGTCGACCCCACCTTCAATCCCTGATCATGAGCAGGGCCAGCGATGCATCCTCGGCTGGAAATAGCCTTGCGATCCTCGTATGTGGCCCACCCAGAATGGCGGATGAAGCGCGCGCCGCGACACATCTTGCGATGCGACAAGGCCACCGCTCGATCAAATTTGTGGAGGAGTCTTTTACGTGGTAGCAAAGGGGCTACATGAGAACTTTTGTGATGAGTATACGACGCCATGCATATATACTGATGAACTGCGTAGATGTTTTCGAGGCTAGAACTTGACCTTTTCTTTGTTAGATAGACATAGATAGAATATCTTGCCCTACGCTGTATGTGGCGAGTTCCGGGCTTCACGGCTTTCGGTTTCCCGCAGTGGAAATTTTCAGACTAGAGAGGATCACTGAATTCGACACACGGAGTACTCCGTACCGACCCGGGGATGGAGATGTGGTTGTTGTGGCTGACAGCGGGGCGTGATGCACGACGCAGGAGCTTCCTACGCCACGCATACGACTATCGATTTCAAGTCGAGAATCACCGATTCTAAATTGACCTGTTCAACTGTTGAGCATAGAGACATGAGAAATGGGGCATCAATGCAATAATTCACGAAACAAGAGAAAGAAGATCGATGTGGTGAGAAATGATAGATCGGATTTATCAACTATCCACTACGGAGGAACCGAGACGTCACACGCAACAGAACAAATAGCGCTACCCCATTGTCGAAGATCACAACGAGTAATTCTGACTTTGGGGTTCTGGTGACTTTCATATGCACCTATGCATCTCTTCCCGTCGGAGGAACATACCGACAGGGTCCGTCGATCGACAGGGGAAACCTTGGACACGGTTATGGATCGCTTGAAAGCCAATAATTCATGTTGGCCAAGCCTTTTTTCGCTCAATAATTCACGGGGGCATCCACTCCGCTGCAGCTTCGATGCTCGGAGACCATCGGGTCTTTCTTGCCCCATCAGCTTGAGGGAAAAGACGAGAGAGCAGATGAAGAACTAGCAAAGCTATAAAAGCAAAGATATTTCCAGTGATGGTTTTTTTATCCATCATTCAACTATCTCATCTTCAAAGCCTTTCAAGCTCTCCCAATCTACCCACCTTCTTCAACCATTTTCCACATTCTCCAAAAACCGTCAAAATGAAGTTCTTCGTCCCTGCCTTCCTTTTCGCTGCTACCGCCATGGCCCTGCCTGGCTCGGGCCATGCCGCTTCCCATTCCGACAACGAGGTCGAGAACGCAGTGAACCAGTGTGGTAACGGTGCCCAGATGTCTTGCTGCAACACCATCCACAAGAATAAGAATATCACCCAGCATAACGTTGGTGTCCTCTCCAATGTCCTCGGCGCCGTTGGCAGCGAGGGTCTCGGCCTAGGCCAGGGCTGCTCTCAGCTTAACATCCCCGTCTCTGGTAAGTGATACATCTACGCCAGTGAACTCAAGCATGAGACTGACCCTATTGTAGTCCTTGGCGCTGCTGGCCTGACCGACTTCCTCAAGAAGAACTGCCAGCAGAACGTTGCCTGCTGCCAGAACTCCAGCTCCGAGGCTGTATGTACTCCCCAAAGACGAAGAAGCGGAACAGAGTCACTAATTTCAATAGAACAACAACCTCGTCGGTATCGCCGCCCCTTGTGTCAGCTTCGGCAGCCTTCTGTAAATTGCATTTCATCGAGTGCATGCAGCCTTTTTCGCCATGGACATATCAACGAGAACCATCAAACTTGTTAATTGTGACGGTCTCTGCGGGAAGGGCTAGTGGATACTAGTACGGAGTATATATGTGTACACTTGCAATACCTATCAAGGGCCTCTTTTATCCGATCTTGTCAGGCCAGCGTTCTCAAATTTGTGGGACCGCTGTTCGTGGGCGCGGATCCTGCCATTCATTTCTCTTTCTTTTGTCACCAGTCTCGGGGCTTTTAACTATATATATTTATTTTTATTGAGAATAGAATGTCTTTAATTTGATATATTTCGGGTGGAGTGTCTTCCTTCTGAATGATTCTCGAAGGGGAGGACTTGATTTCGAAAGCGCAACACATTTCATGACAGAGCTATACTACTTTATCTCTAGCCGGATAGCATCGTATTGCACATAAACAGTGGCGGGGAGCACGGCAGTCTCTATATCCGTTGCATTGAAAGGTAAATGCAATCGCAACACATTGTCACCGACATGTAACCAGTCCGCCGGGAACTCCAATTTCGACCCAACCTGGTAGCAGCTGACAGCAGACCGCACAATACAGCTGCTGGATTGATTGAACCCAACAACAAGAGTCAGAGGATCTGCCTGATTGTTGATATAACTTTCCAGTGACAGATTGTTGTATGACTCGAGGGGATTCCACACATCCGTGTTACCGGCTGCGGTCTTTGCGGCCGCTAATTGCAAGGTCAATGTGGCTGTTTTGCGCTTGTTCAATTGCTTCGAGTCGAGCTTGAAATGTATGTTCCAGTCGTACGTCGTGTCATACTCGACGTGGGAATCCTTTGCCGTTGGTCCGAAGACCGACCAATGGGCAGAGTTGAGATCAGTCGCAGGGTCGCTAGTTCCGATGGTGTAGTTGACACCATCGGAGAAATCGGAACGCCAGTCATAGGCTCCCCAATATATAAGATACTCGGGGGGATGAAGCGGATGGGTTGGATCTCTGGCATTGCCGCGTCGGAACTCCCCTGACGACTTGTCGGGAATCCCAATTCGCCAGAGCTCGGTTCCTGCTGACTCTTGGGTCCAAGTATCACGCAGTGCAGTCTGCCTTCCTGCACGAATGATGATTCCGTCGCGTACAAAATCACCAAAAATGCCCTCTGCGTAAATAGTGAGTCGGTATTTCCCTTCTTTAACACGATCAATGCTAAAGCTTCCATCTTGATTGATATCGGTCCAGTACTGATAGGAGCTTGGGACGGCGCTATTATCTTGGAAGTATTGGCCGTCCACAGTGAGAATGGCAATTGGGCGAACGGCTCCCTTGGGAAGCTTCACGGTTCCTCTGACACTCCCTCGCTGGCTCGAGGGAGCATATCCGATAACATGCTTCGCAATCGAATCATAGAACATAGCGTTCCAATGAGGATTTGCTAATTCTTCTGCCTCGGATCTCAGTTCCTCGAGGGATGCCGAACCCTTCCCGCCATTGAAAAGATAAAATTGGGGACCGAACGTTCGATCAAATCCGTTTGTGATGTTCGGCGTGCCCTCTCCATGGTGGTTTGAGACGATATAGTTATAAACTATACCGTCCACTGTCAAGTCGGAATGGAGTGGACCCTAATAGACATCAGCTGCTGCATTCCACCGTGCTCGATATCGCTTACACCATAATATGTATCCTAGAATAAATTTGTTAGATCGGATTCGACCTGGTGAATATTGGAGCAATATGACCAACCTTAGTATTCATCACTAGCCACGCTCCATATGTTGCCCCATTTGAAGTGCTGCCGTCAGCATAGAGACCGTGAACAGTATTGTTTCTCCATTCTAAGAAAACAACACCATTTAGTCAACCAGTAACCGTAGAAGATAGGGGATTGACCATACGGTTTGAGAATGTATATTTAGTAAAATATTCAGAGAACTGGGTGTAGTACGCATCACTCGGCGTGTTATTGAATGTCCAGGTTGCATCTTGAACAACAATCTCCTTCGAAATGGCCTCCTTGCCTGGCAGGGGTGCGGTCTGGACCTCGCTAGACGTCAAATGCGTCCAAAGATCGGTATTTGGACGAAACAAGGTCCGGAACTCCTGCAAGTTGCGAAGAAATGGCGTGGTCTCATTGTGGTAGGCCAATCGGCTGAACATATGCAAACCAGTCTCGCCATCGCGCAGGAACCAGTACTGTTGGAATTGCTGACCAGTCGGAGTATACGTGTCACTCAGAATCATGCCTCCATATTTGGTTCCAGTTGAATCCGTGCCCTGGACTACCTCCATGCTCGGGGATGTGGCACCGGCTGTGTAGAAGCCAGAAGGAATACAGTAACAGTCCAGATAGGGCCCTATTCCAGTGGATCCCGACTGAGCGCCCAACAAGTCCTGGCCATCTAGAGTGAGATCGACTATCTGGCCGACACTCTTCTGGAGGACAGCCGTGAGGCGAGCATTGGCGAGCGTGATGTGAGTCTGGTTTTCTGCGATGTGTAGCGCCGTGGCAGCAGTAGCCCCTGCCGTGAAGGCTGTCAACAAGGAAGCCCGCATGTGGGGCGTTGGGGTCGTTGATATTTTTTTGCCGAAGTCATCGCCATAATATTGTATTTATACATGATCCTAATATGTCGGGAAATCAATGCCCCGAATCAAGGACTGCTTGCGGTTCCATTCCTCTTTGAACACGGATTTTGAGATCCGCGAATAGATTTGGAATCCATGAATCATACTAGGGGGCTCGCAGCTTAGTCTGGAGAAAACGCACTCCACATCAACCCCACCGGGGGAGATTATGGGGAAGTCTGGGGATGCGGGGATTTGACGGAGAAATTGCTCGGTCATTGCTCACCCGAGATCGTCGTTAAAGGGGATATTTTCATTTAACTATGAGATGTACGGTCGTCGCATTTTCGATGAAATCGTATAGTTATCCCATGAACATCATTAGTTGCTGAAATGCCAATGCAATTAGTTTCATAGAATCTTTCCATTGTACAGGCTAGACATGTTCATGTAAAATTGACCCATCCTAGCCAAGAGTCGGACATGTGTTGCATATTCCCATCAAGCCAACCAAGAAATAAGTCAGGATCATCGATATTCATACTGTCAAGCAAGCTGGCATCATCAACCAACTTGTCACTAGTTTCAGTGTCTTCTACGACAGAGGAGAGACCTTCGCCGGAGAGAACTTGGTCCAAAACGTGGCGGATTGCCTTTTGGCCCTGCTGGGCGACACGGTACATATAGTTAGAATCATTGGGCTGAATGATGGTGTCTAGATATGCCGCGAAAAGGGTCAAATTTTGAATGACTTCTGAACGAGGAAACTCCGGAAAAGAGTTTGTCACAGGCGATCGGGCTCGGCGCAGTAATTCTGCACAGAGAACACCAGCAGAAGGAAGACCCGGTAAGCATACCTGGTGAGGTTTCAGCGTTCCAGCTTTTTTCCACAATCGAAGGTGGAGTCAACTTACATTTAGTCCAATATCTTTGATGGGTTGTCTAGAGCGAGTCTTCTGGGAAATCATAATGACCAATGTTTTGAGTATCTCTCGAGCGATGCCAAGAACTTCCTCGGGCTGTGTCTGGGTGCGTTTGCCGAGGGTCCGGTAGAGCAGGAAATCGTTGTAGAGAAACTCTATGTGAACCTCGAAAAGGAGATCATATTCTACTTTGGAAATGAGTGCCCCGTCAATATTAGGTTTCCAATGAAGAAATTCCGGTAGTCCCTGTCGTAATTGGCGAGATTCGCGTGAAAGCTCCCTGAGAATGTCAGCAATGCCCTGGCTGTGGAATTAAACTGTCGGCGTACTGGACCCTCTGGCTGAGATTGTCGAGTTGCCGACTCAGTGAAAGTTCCAAGACCTTCTCACGGAAAACGCTAGTGATCAAGGAAATTCGAGGCCACGTTCCCTTCATCAAGCTTGACTCCAAATTCCATCCAGTCTCCTCATCCAGTCGAGCGATAGCCGCATTACGAACAGCTGAATCGGCAAATATTTCTTCGACGCTCAAGTCAAGTGGCATTTGAATATCACAGTAGCGCCAGCTGATGAGCGGCGGGCGACCTAGAAAAGTGGCGAGTCCTTTGTCCATAAAATACGCCGCAACCATAGTTCTTTTTCGCATCTCAGAAAGAAAGAATGGGGCATTTTTGCTAGAATCCTGATGCAGCCCGAGCGCAAACAGCGTTGTCGATAACTCTCCTAATTTTCTCCACGGTCGAAAGTCTAAATCCCGTTAGACAATGCGAGCAGGCAAAAGAATGGGATAACGAACCACTTTCACCATAGACTATTGCCAAAAGCGTGACCTGATGCAATAGCAGCCAGGCTACAATGTCATTCACAATTCCAGTGCTATCGCAGAACTGAAGACATATGTCTCCCACAGCAGTGGCAGTTATAGCGAGACTCTTCGGATCCATCATATTTGGACGTAAGAAGACGCGGTCACTATGAGGGACCCAGTCCGTGGCTAGGCCTGTTAGAGTAAAGAGCAGCCCAATCAACTCCCATCTCCCGGCCGCAGCAGACTGAAAATCTTCCCAGGTCATCGAAGGGTACACATCAAGTGCCCGGCTATGCGTTTCGAACAGTTTCTTAGACAAAAAGAAAGCTCGCTGGTTGGTGTTCATACCCTCGGTTTCTGGAGAGTTCCACATCTTCTCAACGAGAGTAAAAACCATGTTCGTGACTGGCCAACCGAGACTCCATCCACTCCATATCTTGAATCGAGCGGAGACCACATCCCTATAGAATGGAAGATTCTCTAGAAGCGCTAAGACCCGGGCACCGAGATTGATCCGCTTTGGGTCAACTGGAAAGTTATCATGGCCTGTGAGGTACGGAAATCCGTCATGAGGTCCATTTCTCGTATCCGTGAACGCATCGCAGTAACTAGTTTGCCCTAGAAATCCCGGGGCCGAGACTGATGCTTTTTTCCGAGTCCAGAAATCGGTCTCATTGTGCAGTCGACTGATATTACTAGGGGTATCTGATTCGCACACAACGCGGCGTTTTTTGGAAGGGCGTGTTCCAGTGAGTGACTGCGTTAATGGTGCTGGGTGATAGGTACAGTGAAGACCGCGGCGCTCACAGCGTCCACAGATGGGACTTGTATGATCGCATCGCAACTTTGAGGTGCGACATGGCTCACATGATGATAATTGACCATTACGGCGGGGAGTCGCCATTATAAGACACCTGGTTGATTAGGGGATGGCAGTAAAAAAGAGACTGGGAAGTAGTCGAGTGTGTTAGTTATGTATGTTGTACAACATAGTATGTACTTGTCGGGGCTCGGCCCTCGGAGCTCGGAGTTAGATGACTAATGTTCGGGTCCTATCCGGGGGCCGGTCGGGGGCCGTGTACTCCGTACTCCGTATGGCGGCTCGTTAGTATCCGTCTATAAGTGGGATGCCAACTCAGCCTAAGTCGGGATAATGAGTTATGTACGGAGTAGTATGGAATGAATTCAAATGGTATTGGATAAAGTATCCGGTGTTCAACCATATATTCCACCATGGTGTTCGACACTAACTTTACCCACGAGATTTACCAATGCAACCATGTATGTCATGTGAATAGTGGGATAGGGGGAAAAGCCAAATTCGGAATCGGTGAAAGAGCGTTAGATCATCGGCAATGAACCGGCGGAAGAGGCGGATCTTAATTATGAGTCGACAAAAGCTAAAAATAATGACAACCTTGGAAAGGTGATGATGTTGGCTCTTGTCGAATCATGTGCCCATTCACATTGAACGTAAATGAAAGCGTCAAATGGCAGAGATATCAGTCGGCCGTCGGCAAATAAGATCATCGCATATTCCCGGGGTGGAGTTCGGAGACCCCATGGGACAGCGCCACCCCCGCACAACGGGGGAGTGCACGGACTAGGCCCCGTGTTCTGAGAGGGAGTTTTCCTGAGAGACAGGCCCTTGCCTTTGACATACTGCTCCCTCCAACTCGGCTCGGTATATCTCACTTGTCGCCCTAACTAATCGCAAATAATCGCCCTGTTACTGCAACTAATTCCTTGACCCCCACCCTACCTGTCCACCCATGGCGAAGAGACGTCAAAATCACTCCTGCGAACAGTGCAGGAAAGCAAAGAAAGCCTGTGATGGCTATATTTTAAATAGCGGCAAGGCCGTATTCATCGAAGCTGAGAGTGCGTTCAAGCCCCTCGACAACCCCCTCTTCCCCACCCATCCATCCCTTCGGTGTTCCCACAAATATGAACAGCTAGCTAAAATGAATCCACCGCAAAGATTCTGGCATACCCTCTCCATGCTCGTACTGCATTAGGACAAGCAAAACCTGCAGTCTGAACCCTCACTGGGGCCAAGATGATCGGCAAACAGAAGAGGGCTTGTCGCGCTCAGAAAATATCGGACTAGATGATGAACAACGCCGGGACAAAAGGCAGCGAATTCAGCCACCAGAGAATGAGATCGAGGTGTCAGTAATACCAAGCTGTACGGTGCCTTGCCAAACTTCACCCACAGAACCTTTACATGCGCCTCTCCCAGAAAATAACGTGGTCGATTGGGACGCGCTGTCTGCGCCTGTTGCTCCACATTCCATTAGTCAGTCAGCCCTCGTGGGGGCTCTTGCGGGATACGATAATTGTTCGCACCCAGGGGACCCGGGACAAGTGAGCTCCATAGCTGTACCCGACAACAAGCACGCGGACCAGGTCGAATATAATGGTTTGGATAGCCTCATGGATTCAGCACTGGCCAATTCCACCTCCCACGATTCTCACTATTCGGACTTTACTTCACAAAGCTTCATCCCTGATACCCCCCAAACGATTTTCTACAACCCCAATCCCGCTTTCTCCATATCTTCAGTGTTGGAGGAGAGAGGCCAAAACGAAGTGTGGAGGGGCCACAAAAAACGGAAAGACATCTGCGACTCACAAGACTACTTTGCCATGACACTGTCTCTATTTGGTGCGGGCCATCTCGCTATGGAAAATTCGAATCGAGTACTCATATCCGAGAGCCTTCTGCGAATTTATCATGATGTTCTAGAGAACAACCTCGGGTGCTGGTTGGCAGAAGATACATGCCCATACAAGATGCGGCAGAGGCGGCACGAGCCACTCTCCATCAACCAGAGCCCGAGTTCAGGACAAATACCGTCCGAATGGGGCGTATCATGGACAAATCGCATGTACTGTCGTATTAAACAGCTCGATCGATCCGCCCGGTCGGCAAAGCTGATTCATCTCTCTGCATCGGAAAATCGGGCGGCTTCCAAAGCCCTCGAGCTCTCTATCATGGCATTTGCCACACAGTGGGCCCAGGGAGGACGGCGCTGGGATGGTCACTGGCTGGTAAATAGGTGCGAGGATGAAGGAATGCGCGACGAATTTGGGCAGACACTGCATCGATCTGTTTGGGAATGTGCAAACCAGGCGCTCCAAGATGTCACCCACGTGGAGTGTTTTAGGGTGGTCTTCGCTGAGTTGGTTTTCGGTCTTATACAGAAGCCGTCGTCAAACTATTTCGATGCGCGCGCAAAGGATAGGCATAACACTGATCAGAACAAAAGCCTGAAGCCTTCAACGCTGGCACAGGTCATGAGCATCATTGATCAGGGGGAACCGCCGATATTCATTGAGCGAGGGGCTCGCAAAATCCACGTGCTCAAATACCGATTCAAAGCGCGCCAGGCAGGCTTTTACAATCTCGGCACCAAACTAGACGAGCAAGTCCCTGTAGAGTTCAGTACGGAAGAGACCCAGACGGTTGGCCTCTTGTACTGGCTCGCAATCATGTTTGACACGGTCTCTTCATCCATGAATGAGCGGCCAGTCGTTGTTCCCGATGACGAATGCCAACACGAAGCTGCACAGGAAACAGTACGAAATCCCACTCAACCCCCGACCTCTAGCCGCCGGTGGGAACTCGACCTCTACGCCCAGGAGGATCCCGAGAAGGCACTAGCCATGCGTTGGCCTTGCCCGTACGAGTTCGTGATCAGGGCCCTCCCCAGATCAGCAGCTGTCAAAGTGCTGCTCTTCCGCTACATCTCATACCTTCAGAACGCCTTGAAAAATGCCGAGTGCAACAAAGTCGTGGAAGACATTATCCAACGCACGATATGCGTGTACCGCTACTGGATGAAGACGCACGGGGCTTTATTCCGCGACCTGACCAGACACTACGACTCAGTCCCTCCGCGGATCAAGAGCTGGTTCCCGTGTATTAGCATCCCCTGGCATCTAGGCTCCCTCATGCTGGCCGACCTGATCGAGTTCGTGGATATGAACAGTCTCGGCTGCGATGACTACATGGCAGAGCGTGAAGATGTCTGTCTGGTAACCAAAATCCGGAAAGAAAGCTCAATCGACATGGCAGACCTTGCAGCTGTCCTGACCCCTGGACCATTGGGGGGAATAGGTCTAAACCAACTGCCGGGCTTTCACTTTGCCGTCAATGAGAGTCCACTTTTGACTGAGCCCTGGACGGTGCTTCTCGTTCGGGCATTTTCCAAAGCTTCAATATTCCACCTGAAGGAAATAGAAAAGCTGCAGAAGTACCAGCGTTTCGTCTTTGATCATGAGAGCAAGGCCCTGCAGACGAGTGTCGCACGCCTCGAGAACTGTGTTACGGCTCTCCGATTCCTGGGTATGAAGTCAGCGATGGCTGAGGCTATCTCTATAGTACTATCTGAATCGCTGAATAAATGCCGAACTCTGGGCTGATTTTTTGACAAGCCAATATCCCCTTTTTTGAATCTCGTCATATGTGCCGTTTGGTATGGGCTTACATGTTTGGTGTTTTGAATTTTGATATCCATTTCGTGCATCACATTTATTTCAAGGCTATGTTAGAGTTCAAGCTTATCTTCATCGAACGAGTACAACCTGACAGATAGGACCTTTTTTCGGCTGAAAAGACCTTACTTGATATTAAGTGAGTGCAATTGTTTGTGCGCGCCAATAATTGCTCTATCCATCCTGTAATAGTTAGCCAGTCTACGCTTCTTTCTGTCAGGACTCAGCAACACATCACCATGAATAAATCCTCAAGTCAACATGCAGATTGACAACATGCAGATTCCTCCCTCCTTCGACAAATGGCGGCATATATTATGGTATCCTGCTGGACCCCTACCATAAGTTGCCAGTCAAAGAAAAGCGGTATCTAACCCGAGCGGTCTGTGCGGTTATCACCTCGATTTGAAGGATTCTCACCCTAATTATTACCCTGTCTATTGTTGTCCACTCACTCTTCAATTTACAATTCAGGCATATTACCAACCCTACAAAATCAGACATTTGACCTTTCGCAGAGTGCGAGTGATTGATCTGATCTAACTCCGAAGCAAACAAAACAAAAACAAAAACATACAACAGTGAGGATTCGCTGGTGGTCACCCACCCAACTACTAACTCACCGGCGTGTGGCTAAACTACAGCAAGTAGTGCGGTGGGTGCCGCCCGGGTGAGAATGGGGTGAGCGCCGCTTTAGCGTCGCGCGACTCGGGTGATTAGGGTGAGTGCGCAATAGACAGGGTGAGAATGGGGTGAGCAGGGTGAGAAACATGCTATCTAGGGCGACCACTGCACTGACCCCTTTCAGCTGAGCTGGCTTTAAGTATCATTGGGCCAAAGCCTCCCCCCTGAAACGCTCGGTCTCTTGGCATCTGCACATAGCCTAGTGTTGATGGATATAGTAAGGTGAATGCAGATCTAGCACACACAGCGAGCCTTTTTCTAAGAGACAAGAATTCAAAGGACCCAAAAACTAGTTATCGCTCTTCAGTATGTACCAGAAAAGGGCATTAACTAAGTTGTGACGCCAGATTTTCTCTGGTAGTCACTTGTCTAAATGATAGCTTGCTGTCACCTGCATTATGAGCGGCAAATGCGTGCCGCCCAGGTGTTGCAAGCGCCAAGTCTTCTAAAAGAGGGGTGGGAGAAGTAACCCGCGAGTTGCACGATCGCTGACATTATTGGATGTTTGATTCGCGGCTTATGCTGCGTGTTTATACTTGGACTAAAAATAGAACTTACCCCGACGGTCAAAGTATCAAGTTGTCAACAGAATCTGACTAGGAAACATGGCTGGTCAATAATATTCCGCATGAGGGGTTATCACGTAGTATTTATAGTATATCTTCCTCCGAGCAGTGAAGGTTACTTAATTTTCTCTTTTTGCACAGATCGCAGCGGAAC